CGGGTTCACCAGTGTAGATCCCAGGCGTGGACCTACACCACTTGTCAAGCCATGGTGTGGCAGTGACCCATAAACAAAATAGAGGAAGACTGACACAGATGTTAGTTCAGGGCTAAGCTTCCTCAAGCGAAAAAATAAATAAATAAAATTACTTTCAGTGCTAAGTAGTGCTACTTTCACCATCAGGGCTAATAGGAAAAGAAAAAGACATACTTAGAACATCAGTGAAGACCAGATGACATCATCCGGTTTCCCAGTAATTCCAACGGGAAGATGTGGGGGGAACTGCCTTCCAAGGTGCTCCCAGGGCTCCAAGAACGCGTGTGCTGAGCTCAACGCCGAGCCCCAGCTTGAGAGCCACACTGACAGACAGCAGTGTCTGAAGTTAGCTTTAGGTAACATCATCCAGCCATTAAATCAATCACGCCGATTTGGATTTTATTGAACTTATAATTTAGTGTGAATTTTAATATTAATATGTTTTGAATTTCAGCTGCCAAAGAGATATAAGGAGTTTATGTTTGTACATATTCAAATAACACAATAAAAATAATTTAAGTCAATATGGGGTTCTAAGGATCTGAGATACTTTATTTTTTCCTCATAAAGAGGTTGATACATTCCTTTGTTCTGGGACAGCTGGATCTACAGGGTCCCTTCCACCTCCACCCTCCACACTCTGGAAACACCACGCGAGGAACCTCTTTGGCTCACATGCCTCTACTCCATGGAGACAACTGCCCCTTTTGCTTTTTAAAAAGTTTATGTGCATTTATTCACGGAAACCAGGATCCAACTGTGTCTCTGGAAACACAACAACCAAATCCCCCAGTAAACGCCTGTTTCACAAGTGTCTCGGCAGGATGACAGAGCGGTTCCACAGTGCTGGGTGAGGGTTGCAGGAACTAGGCTTGAGTCCTCGCTCTGCCGCCTATGGGTTCTGGGCCTTGGATCAAACCACTGAACCTCCTCACTTTGAGTGTGAACAGTTAAATAAGATAACTCCCTTGGAAACACAGGATGCTCTAAGTTGACAACTACGTCCCAGGTAGAGTTATCAATGCATGACACTCAAACGGCCAGGCTCCGCGTGTGTGCGGGTCAGGACAGGCTCAGCAGCTGCGTCAACAACGCTTACCGTATGCCAACTGCACATAACATGCACTGCTGGGCCTTTAAGAAACAGAAGATTATCAGGACAGAGACTCTGACTCCTAAAAACTTAATCTAGTGGGAAAGACCAACAGGAATTAAAATTCTGGACAGAACAATGTTAAGTGCTATAGAAGAGATACAGAGCAAAAATCTGTGTTACCTTTTGTATCACTTTTGCAGATTCCATGCTCTACTCTCCTATATCATTACAATTTTAGTGATTGTGCTACCTTTTTTTAATGAAAAGGTCAAATATCTTTCATTAAATGCAAGCTTCTTGAAGGAAATTAATCTTTTCGTAGCATTCTTTTTTAGTGAGATATTTATTATAGTCAATTATTCTTAACATTTTAAAGTATCTTGATAACACTCAGATAATTTAGATGAAGAGCCTAAAAGTAACTATCTGAGCCTTACTTCTCATCTCTTTGGTAAGGACAAAAGTGACAAATGTAAACTAATACTCTAATACTTTAATCCTCTGGCCAAGTATGCACGTGTGTGTGTGTATGTGTGTGTGACCTAACACCCTCTCTAAATTTCACCCAGGATATTCTAATCTTTACATTTGAAGGCGTATATGGCCTAACTTGTCTGCCTTTCCTTTTCTGAGACTCCTATTCATCCTTCAAGACCCATTTTAAATGTTACCACACAACTTCCCCAAGCAGTTATTTAAACACTCTTCTAAGCCCCCAAGATAGTTGTGCATTCCTCTAAAATAGTGTATTTCATGTTGCACTGAATTATTTATAAGCATATTCCTCCTACCAGATTTTGAAATATTTGTTGCACTGTTAACGCACTTAGCACAGTGCTACACACATGGTGGGTATAAATGTTTGTGAATGAATGAGCAAATGAATGAATGCGTGCATGGATAACTTAACACATGGATACAATGATCAAAGTCCACCCCATAGCTGGAATTGTTCAGGTTTTCCTTAAATCATATCATGATGCACATTAGCCGTACAGTTTTTCCTATTTCTACATTCTAATAGGATATCAGAGTCCTATATAGTTTTCTGAAGAAAGATTACTCCATTCACCTCTGACCTTTTAGATCTATTCCAAGGTAAACTTGGAAACAAAAGCACTACACAGATGAAAGGAGAGAAATAATCCCAAAATACCAAAATACATTTTAAATTAATTTTTGTTATATTTACACATTCATTTACTTTATAAAAGTGACTGCTATTTCCCCAAATCTCCTATTTACCTTCTTTCATAATGAGATCAGTCTTTTCAAGGTTTCCCCAATGTTTAGAAACAAAACAACTCCAGTTTATTTTATGGAGCATTACACAACTTCATACAGGTGAAAATTATTTAAGCTACAATTTTTAGTGTGTTTGCCTGTTTTCTTCTTTCCTTCTCTCAGTCTCATCACAATGAAAAGGTAATATTTTGGTCACTCCTCACTCCCACTGCCACACCAGCTATGACAACCACAAACTCAACGGCAGATGTGAGTCCTGGCCCCAAAGGAGCCCAGGTCTCAGCTTCATTCTCCCTCACCTGCATTAGGTACAGACCAAAGGGAACGCAGGCTGGCTGCCCAGGGAGCTTTCTTCCCAGCTCCACACGTAAGAGCAGAGAGATCTGGCTGCATAAACGTTTTGTAGGCACAGAGAACAGCAAGGGTTAGGCAGACAAGACTCGAGAGTGAAGCCTGGAAAATCCAAACCATAAATGCTTGAGATCCAGAGCAGAAAGAGACACTCCAGACATGTAAGCTAGGCCCTCCATTTCACAGATGAGGAGAACAAGGGCCCAGCGCCTCGCGAGCAGCAGGGACAGAACGACAGTTAAAGTCTCCTGACTTCTGTTGCCACGTTCTCGCACAACACTATCTTTTTCTCCAGCCTCAGCCATAGCCCCCTTGGGCTGGACACACGAAGGACAATATATCGCAGTCCATTTGAGCATGGGAATGGAAGATAGGGATTATTCCTTCCAGCAGAGTCCTAAGTACACACTGACCATACAAGTGGACATACAGTGAGGTCCACATCTATATGTTTAATGGAGCATAAAAATAAGTCACGATGTTTAATTCATTTCAATCCAACAAGCGTTTATTGAGCACCTACTGTATGCAAGAGCCATTGTTATGAGTCAGAGAACATTAAAAAGAAATATATGGCCCACACCCTTTTGATACATTGGAGAATACAGAAACACAATTAACTACACGATAAATCGTACTGTTACTTGTGTGAAAATGGAAATATAAACTAAGTATTACTGGGTCCTGGAGGCAAACAGAAGAAATGTGAACCAGAATAAATAGGGGTCCAGTTAGGGGTATGGTAAAGGTCTTGCAGAAGAGGCAACAAGTTCATTGAATCTTGAAGAAAGAAGATTCTTTCGTCAAGTAGAGAAGGGAAGAGAAAGGCATGCCAGGGAGAGGGACTAACGACCACTGGCACAAATCAGACATCTCGGCTTGTGTGGAGAAGAGTGAGTAGCCTGACTCGAATTACACGGGGAAAGGGGGCCAAAGATGACACTGGCAAAGCAGATCCAGGCAGAGTGATCTGTGAAAAGTACCAACTGCTCCCTGTATAAGGAATGCGGGCATTAGCACAACCACTCTAGATTCAAATTTAACCAAGGCAGGAAAACCATCCTTATGACATTAAAAATGGTGTGTGCTATATCCAAATTACATAGGCCATAATTTATTGTCATCTGGAGTTTCTGAGTAGAAGTTTGATACTACTTCCAACCCTTGCACATGTGCGTGTGTGCACGTATGTGTACACATGCACATATATATTTACTAGTATATGGATAGGAAAGGAATACATCGAGAAAAAATTTCTCCTGATTCTATACAAAAATGCCTTTCATTTCTGTCGACAGAGGACTCCAGAACTTTTCCCATTCTGAGCTTCCTTTAATTTTCAACTTCTTGTAGCGTCTAATCAAAGTTCTCATATTGCAGACAATGTGGATTAAATTCTCATTTGACCACCAACAATGGCAATGAAAAACTAAAGATTGACTTCACTACAAGTTTTTTGTTAAAAACTCAAGTTAGTGTATAGTAACTAATAATCTATTATTCATACGCATATGTTTAGCAAAAATGTATTAAGTTCCTACTGCGTACCACGCACTGTGATTTAGAAACCGTGCTAGCACAAGTAAAGAGATACAAAGACGTAAAGTCAGTCCCCTCCTCTCAAAGCAGAGCAGGAACTTTGTCTCATTCATTGCTGTCCCGAGCACCAACAGTGCCTGGTACCTGGGAGGCTACAATAAATACTTCTTCACTGCCTTCCCCAAGGAACATACAACCCAGTAGAGATGGGAAGTGAAACCGAGGAAAAAAGAAACTCATAATACTTGCAAATAATTGTAATATTTTTACATTCTTATTCACAAACAAGAATATCTGACAATAATTTCCCTCTCTCTTCTCTCTACATAATGAAAATCTTAGTAGCTCAGAGAAAGGGTTTCTCCTCACTGCATGGTCTATTTCTAGTTTTAATTACAATGCTTGGCAAAACTTGGGAGAAGATCATCCCAATTCATTTCAAAAATAACTCCCATTCAATATAAGAAGATGGGATTTTTCACACTTGTAAATTTTTTATTTCCTTGATAATCAAAATGGTTTGGTATAAAACATTCTCCTAGAAACTTGGGTTTAGTGAAGGTCCAGGGCTGATATCTGTTAATAAAAACAGTTTTCCTCAAAAAGTAAAAACTTACACTCTCCTTGCAAACAGACTCAGTTTCACTTCTAGCTATTTATAATCTAGAGAAGATGCAGTTCAAATCCAACGTGAGACATAAAGCTCGGCAAGGTCTCTCACAGTACTTACTGATCCATACAGCTCCCCCTTCTCATTCATCCCGAGGTAGAGTCCACTGTCCACGCCTCGAATGCTGACCAGGCCCACTGCTATACTGATAAATTCCAGAATGCCTGTGAGACAAATGGCAGAAGGCAGAAGACAGGTCAGAGCACAGAGCATTTCTTTAAAGTCTCAGCATCCCCAGGAGTTTTGAGAGGACACTGAGCCCAGCTCCCAACTTGGATAATCGCACACTCATTAACAAGTGTCTTCTCTTAAAACCATTGCCTAAAAGAACTGATTTTTCAACTAAATTCTATCTTATAATAATGATACAAAAATACTTATCAACATGACACACAACACAACATTTAAATATTAAACACTAGTATTTACATAGACATGCTAAGAAGTGATATGACAGATAAACCAATACACATATTCTAATTAACCTAAGAGAGTATAATTTATGAAAAAAAACACTGACTTCCACTTTATAAATGTGAAATTATTTGTGTATGGGCATAGATTGGAAAAAAAAACACTATTTAGAGAATGGTCTTATTTCCCTCAAAACAAGAGTCTGAGGTGCTAACCAAAGACTTGATTGCTTTATACAGAAAATTATCCAGCTCTCTACTGCATAACTTTATTGAGCCCCATCTGGAAAATTAAAATAGCCTACACACATCCCAGATATTTCTGCTTAAACGAAGTATTGATTTTTGCTGTACTTATCTAAGCCTCAAAGAGATAGCTAAGCAATTAAGAAAACATAATGTTCTGGACAAAAAATGCTGGTTCCGAAAATGCTCTTGATTTAAAATAGGCATGGAATACTATATCTCAAAATCAAACCAATGTAATGATCTGCTTTTATTTCCTTCTTTCCCCTTGCTTCCCTCACTAAGAATAACAACACCTAAGCTGAGCATAAATCCAGAATTTTATAGCCACACAACATCGGCTTCAATTTTTCTAACTATATTGTTGTTTTAACATGATTATCCAACAGTAATTTGGGACAATGCTAATATTTTTTGTGCTTAGCCATTTTCTCAATTTTGTTATAAAGTGCAACACTTTGTGTAGACCTTGCATTAATGCATACCAAATATTGAGTTCTTGTTTTAAAATATCTTCAAATATTTAAAAATTTACTTACGTTTAAGAGTTTAGAAAAAACTAAGGATAACGTTGCGCTATAGTCAGTCCCATGTGACTAATAAAAAAGCACTTACATGGATTTTTAAACAATTAATTTTGCAGCTCTCACAAAATAGACTGTGCTGCAATCAGAAGAAGACATGAACTACACAAATCTAATAAAGCAAAGCGTTCCAAGGTGATGTAAAAAAGAAGAGTTATTTCTTACAAAGGAGTATTCCTAATTCTTTTATAAGCACAAAACACGACAAATATCTCATGCTTACAGTTTACAGAATATCTGCCTGGACCTGCAAAACTACTTATTTTAATATAATGTGAAATACTGTATGAAAAAATATAAAGAGAAATTAAAAATTACTTTTTGGATCTAATAATCTGTGACTGTGTAACGGAAGATACATTTAAAATAAGCTAATTTATTACTAGACTTCCCTGCCTCACAAAGCAAATGGAAAGATAAATAAGGCAATATTTCCATGAGATTCATTTCACATGAGATGCACTCCCTTATTGATGCAATCATTTTATTTCATTGTACTATTTCTAACTCTTACGATTAAAAATAATTAAAATTGTGACATTTCCTTACTATTAGGAGTTTACATACACATGAATCTCTTCTTAGCTATCTGAAAACACACCACAATATAGGTCATAGTTATCCTGAAATTAGTGAAAGGAATTCATTAATGTCCAATTTTCATTATAAAATGAAAGACAGGAAACATTCTGCCCCTTTGAGGTCTGACCAATTTAATACACCATGTCAATGGGGAAAGTTTGAAACATAAAACTAAAAGATACTTGCACCTTCTAGGAGGATGTCTGGTGACCTTTCTGTTTTCCCTAAACATGAGAAGGCTCTGAGAATAATGAATATTAGCCAACGTTGCCCATCAGGCCCAACAAAAAACAGGGCATGTGTGATCTCATAAAACCCTCTGACTGGCTGGCCTGCAGAACATCAAAAATAATAACAACAACAAGAATCATAATAGCTAGAATATGTGAGCATTTCATCTGTGCCAAACGAGAGGCCCTCTCTCATTCAACCCTCAGAACCACCCCAGGTATTACAATATTTTAATCTCCAGTTTACAAAAAGGGAAATTGAAGTTCAAGGATTTTAAATAACTTGCCCCTAAGTAATCAGACTCCAAAGCCTACATCCTTATCGATTAGGCACATCTTACCGTTGGTTTTACCTTTTTTTCATGTATTCGTAATTTCTGTACCATTTTTATATAGTTATTCCCTCACTAGTGACTAGAAGATGTTACCTAAATCAGAATCCACAGACCCAGTGGGCAGGACTAGAAATAGCAGAGGAAGCGAACATGTCAGCTACTGGGTCTCTCGTCATGCAGAACTCGGGAAGGTGGGCATCTCCTAGGTGTGCAGACTATTTACCCAAATTGTTTATGTACACATAGTATATAGCTTTTTTTGTTAAAAGACTTCAGTTTTGAAACTATTATTATATAGTTTGGAAATGAAAGTATTAAGGTATCCATCTTGTTTCTTTTTCTGGCATCAACGAGATAGCTGTAATTCACATGCAATGACATTCAATCAACGAACTATTATTGACTATTATAAAGCCAAGCACCATGCCATTTGTTGAGTATATAAAGATGAATACAATACAGGCTAGGCCCTAAACCCTCAAAGAGCTTACCTTCTAGTGAGAAGAAGGACAAATAAACAGATAAATGTAATAAATGTGGAGAATGCAGTGAAAGAGAGATGTTTAGGGTATGGTCAGTGTCCAACAACGGACAGCTCACTCAGGCTTGGGAACAGGAGTCAGAGAGGGCTTCTTGAAAGAAATAATACCCGAAACAAGTCTCCGAGGGGACTCTCCACATGAGAAGGAACCACCTCTATAGTGACCCCAGGTGGAAAAGATTTCGTCACCTCAAACCACCATCCGTATCTCTGCAGCTCCTTGCAAAGTAGAGACCTCAAAAGAACAAGCCCAGCTGTTTATGAGGTCACCTCAGAGATCCGAGGGCAAGCCGAACACCGGAATGTTTGAGTCACAGCCATTCCCCCAGATGCAGAGAGCACCAACGTTGTAAGGTCAGAAAGACCTGGCAACAGGATTCCACCCCACCCAGATTGGAATCCTTATCATTCCTGCTACCATCTTGTCCACAATGAACTCTCTAACCTCAACAGATCAACTAACCTCTCTCTGGGCCTGAGCCAGTGCCAAGCAAGTGCTTCCAACTGTACTCATTTGAGTATGGCCCACTCCCCACCTATCTGTTTACATAAGTAGGCAGCACAGACAGGTGCTGGACCATTACCAGCCCAGGAGAATGCTCCTGTGTAGAAACATTTAAATGTTTAATGATCAACAGGAGAGGAAGGGAAAGAAGGAAAGAGCAAGGAAGAGAAGCAGGAAGTAAGGAAGGGAGGGAGGGAAGGAGAGAGGAAGGAAGGGAATGGTGGGACTGTGCCTAAAACTAAAACTGCAGCCCTTGCATGTGTACCGTGGAGTTCTGTCTTTCTTCTTAGGCAGACACAACTTAGACATCCTCAATTCAGAGGACCACAGTAATGAGTGATGGAGTGACATGGGAAACAAAGTCAGTGACCAGTGGCATTTGGCTATTCCCTTTCACAGCAGCCAGCAGTTCTGAATGAGGATATGCTCACTGAGCCGCAGGGGGTCTCATGGGATCCAAGGCTGACCCTGGTCCACAAGAGGCAAGGTCAGTTTCTGGGACTACTTCAGGAAAATGACAACACCAGACCTTCCTCCCTGTTCCAGAATTACTAGGTATTAGTGGTTAGCCCCAGAGTTCTGTCAAATGGACCATTAACCCAAAGCTGGCCCAGCTCCCAAGAGCCCCTCTATATGGGGCCTCACCTGCAAGGCCATGATAAGGCCAGCCATGGGAAATGGGAGGGTGGGCAGAAGCTGTTCCACTCTAGCCCATGTTAAACTACCCTCTAGCCTAGAAGCCCCCAACACTTAACAGAGCTGCACTCTTCAGAGGACAAGAATGTATGCAGGCTGTGGAGAGAGGCATGACATGAGGCTTTCGAAAACAGATTAACCCCCCTGCTCACCCTGAGAATCCCACACCAGAGCTGCCAAATCAATCATTGCAGAGCCTGCATCCCAGTTAAGTCCCAGTCTGTAGCAACTTGAACAAATCTCAGAGTTCACTTAGGAAATGACTGAACGGGACTTACAACGCCACCAAATTTTTCAAGAATCTGAATCAATCCTGAAAACAGCTCCTTAAATAGGCACTTTCCCTTAGTGAGATATTGAAGAGCCAGATATAAAGAACAGAATTTTTTAAAGTGCAAAACCCTGGAAATAAGGTTTTTTTAACCTTTAAAAAAATGGTACCATCACGTTTCTCCCCTCTAGTACAACTTCCACCTGACCCCTGACCCCCTCTGAACCAGCAGCCCCAGTTTGTGTGCTCATCTGGCGTCCTGATGAAGTCCGGCCTGTCAGGGCAAAGGGCACAGCAGGAGAAAGCCCCATCTTTCCACGAAGTCCAGGAATCAATCCGCTCAGGCTTCCCCTTTGCCAAGCAAAAGAGCAGATAGCGCCCAACGCTCACTGTCTTATTATTTTACATTGCTGTTTCCTCAATTGAGTTTCTGCTCACTTTTTCCCGTCTAGCAAGTGCTTTAAAAAGAAAAAAAATATATGAAAACGAAACATCTCCCTCTCCCACCCTATTACCCAGAGATCAACTCCCAGTTCCTTTTCTCCATGCTCACCCTTATCTCCACACCGCCACCCCCAAAGGAAAAACAAAGGGCTCCCTCAAGGTCCCACCTAAGTTGTCACCGCCGCAGCTCCTGCTGGGACAACAGTAAGATTCCCTTGCCCCCACGTCCCCTGCACTGCCGCTGCTGGGTCGCCGCCAAGCTTGCCGGCAGCCGCAGTCCCCTGCAGCTGCATGGGGGTGGCAAACATCATTTTTCCAGCACGTTCCCTTCTGCCGTTTCATTTAAGGGAGAAAATGCACCTCCTATTTTAATCAAGGTGTAAACCCAACCCACCCCTCCCCTACAGCTACTCTTTTCTAAAGGATCGCAAGAGAAACTGAGGCTGGAGACAAGGTCCCCGAGGACCCGAGGTGAGGAGGGGGCGGCCGCCGACAGGCGAAGGGGGAGGGCCGAAGGTGAGGCCGCCGCGGGAGCGGGAGCGCCAGGTGTGACGCGCTGCCGCAGCCCCTCGGACCCCTCCCAGCCGCCCCGCCCCCCGCCCTCGCCGCGCGCGCCGCCGGGTCCTAGCGCCGCCGACCAGGCCTCCTTCCGGGCGGGGCTGGGAAAGCGAGGGTAGGAGGCTCCCGGCACACGCACCGCGCTGCAGAGGTTGCTAATATTGGGACCTGCCGCAGCGGTAGCAGCGGGAGACCGCGGCACTGCTGTCACCCCGGGGGCCGCTCCTCACTGCAACCGCATGAAAGACTTAAATAACCCTCCTGCCTCACCCTGCTTCCCCACCCCCACTGCGCACAGCCACCCACTCAGCTCCATCCAAACGAGGGCGAGCGGCACAGCGGAGCCGCAGGCGCGCCCTTCCCCCGCGGCTCCTGGCCGACCCTAGAGCTCGATGCCCCGCACCCCCTACCCGAGAACCCTGGCAGGGGCTTCCGCTCCGCTCTCCTCCACCCAACATTGCCCCACCAGCCCAGCCAGCAGTGCCAAGCGAGTCTAAGGAGTAGAGATGTCACTTCCTAGGCGACACCTTTCTCCAACCTCCAGGATTCGGGGTGGGGGGTGAAGAGGTCGATAGGGTTTGTTTCATGGTCTCTATTCAGCCGCTGTACCAGAAGTCCTTGTCCGCTGACCCCAGAACGCGCCTCTCGGGTTCTCCCCACCCCACCCTCGTGGCCCCCACAATCCCATCCTTGCATCCTCGCTCTTCCCGGTGGCAGAGTTACTGGATTTCCAATGGCTCGACTGCGTGTAGTAAACGTTCTACCCTAAAGGTGACTGCATTGGAAAAAAAAAAAAGCCCATGGGGACGGGCGTGGAGGAGTCCAACCAGAACATCCCATAATCTCCCTACGCCAGTGTCCAGTCGTGATGCACCAGAGGTTCCGAGATGCTGTCTCAAAGACAGGGCTCGGCTAACTCACACAATGAAGCTGGCCCTGGCCCTGCAGCGCTGCGTCCCCGCCGGGCTCCCCGGGGCCGAGAGGAAAGCGGGCCCGCGGGCCGCGAGCTCTGCTCCGGGAAAGCGGTTAACAATAGCACACGCCGCCCCTCCGCCCGGCTCGGCGGCCCTTTGTCCCCCCACCCCTTCCCCTGCGGCTCAGGCCTTGCCCGGCCAGGGCCCCCGATCCACTCCCGGGCACCGCTGAGCGCGTGGCCTCTCCGAGACTCGGCTTGTGCTTCAGAAAGAGGGAGAAGGGTCCGAGATGGGACCGGGGAGGTCAGGGGTCCGACCTCCAACCGTCCTCAGTCCCGGCCACCAACTCTCCCGCTGCGGCGCGCGCCTCCAGTGGTTCCCACACCGCAAACGACCGCACTGCCCGGGGCGGCGGCTGTTAGCCCCGCTGGACTCACATTCACACACAAAGAGAAAAAGAAGGGCAAAATACAAAGAGAAAATACAAAGAGAAAAAGAAGGGCAAAAAAAATCTGATTTCCTAAACGCAGCCAGAAGTATGTCAGCCCCTGCCCGTCGCCTCGGGACACAAGTCGTCTCCCCAGCACCGAAGGACGCAGCCGAGCCGGCGGAAAGAGAGCCGGAAACGGAGCGCATTTAGGACCGCGCGGAGCTGGCCGGGCGGCCGCCGAGTGCGCAGCGGGGCCCGGGCTGCGGAGCCGGCACCTGCCGGCCGAGCGCGGGGAACTGGCTCCGGCCGCGCGCACCTAGGCCGCCGCCCGCCCGGCCGCCGCAGCGCGGCCCCGGACACACCAGCGCTCCCAGCCCGCCGCCCGCTGCCTGTTGTTCTCGTCCTGCACGCTAGGCATGGTAGCAGCCCTTCGAGTGGCCGGAGAGGCTGCACTTGCAGTCAAGTTTCGCCTTCGCTTTGCACAACCAGAGCTGCGTGGACCTCTCGAGGGGGAGTTATCTTCCAACGGAACAATTGTAAAGCAAAGAGCTACCGCTTTTTTCTTTTTTTTTAAGCAGAGACGGGAGACAGCCAGAAATATTTACACTAGTAGGTCCCGTTTTGGGCTTGGGCTCGGTGGTGAGCAAAGGGAGAAAATCCTGGGCCTCGTGTATCTGGGACCATCCCCATCTCAGGCCTGAATCCTCCTCACCTTCTGGCATCATCTACGGCCCTACGAACCTAAACAGATAGTTTAGATTGTGGTCAACATCTGGCATTAAAACACGAGGAAGAAAAATCACCACAGGACTTTTGTTTTTTACAATCTAGTTTAAGTGTTGTCAGGTGGGTTCACTCAGAAGTTAACTCCTTCCAACAGTCTGGTTGCCCAAACTGGCGCTGTGTGTAAGGAAGAAACCCGAGAGTCTCCCATCGGGACTGTGCTCGTTGACTTGGTGCTGTTGGGCTCAGGGTAGCGAGCGTCAAAGTGGACCGAGTCACCAGCCCTCGGGTCTGCAACCCTCAGTGCTGAGTCACAAATACCCTCCTCGGGAAATGAAATCCTCGGAATGCCCTTTAAAATTAGCTCGCAGCTTTTGCACGCGCGCACACACTCACCCAAGAGAGCCACCCAGGAGACCCACACAGGGCTATACACTATGGAAATTATAAAGCATAGGTAATAACTTGATAGCTGGAAGGACAAACGCCTCTGGTGAGCGTTCTGCCCCTTCCCAAGTCATTTTCCGCCAGCGTCTCTGCCCCTGCCGCTCAAGGAGACTCAGATATGACTAGTCCTCCTCCCAACAGAAAAATCAGTCTGCAGCCCTCGCCCACGGGGCGTTTAGACCCTCACGGAAAGAATAAACAATATGCTGAATTTACAGTTCAAGCAGTACACTTAGAGAAAAGAGAGAAAGGGCAAAAACTTCAGTTGGGCACAAGATAACCGCTACCTTCAAGAAAATGCATTTTTAAGTTCTCAGCAGTTAATGATTAAAGCTTTAAACTCGTGAAAACAGTCCATTCAAAAGAAACTTCCTAAACCCGATCTTCCCGTGTATCTTATGCAAAAGAACTAGGAACTTATGTTATATTTATAAATCATGCCCTCCTTTAAAAAGAAAAAAAAAAAGGCCTTTCAGTGTAGACCTGCATCAGTGCCAGCGGCAGATCTGCAATTCCGGAGGCTTTTTTTTTTTTTTTTTTGAGCTTGCAAGACAGAGGAGACAGACGGAGAGAGGGAGAGATCCCTTCCCGGATCCCCCGCCCAGCCACCACCTTCTTGGTAGTTAGAATCCGAACATGTCATCGCATGGCCACTAAAGGGTTAATGGTATACCTACCGAATCGGCTGTGGTCTTTCCTGGTTCCCTGGATAGTACCATTGGGGAAGATCTCTAAGTGAAATCCAGTCCTGCAGTAGAGCTGCCTCCGCCTGAGGATCCCCTTTAAATGATCCAAGTCCGTGACTGCGGGTCCCCTGGGAAGCCCCCCTGCTTCGGACTGACCCAGGTGGTCACTTAACAAAACCGGGCTGTCCACCGGCAACACGGGCACATTCCCAAATGGTACCGCATCCTGCACACCGAAATAGTTCCCAACTTCACCTAAGGGAGCCATCAGAAGACTCGGCTTTCGGAGCACAGGAATAAACAATAATGATGGTGTCAACCCAGGAGATATTGGGCGAGGTATATCCAACTCCCCTTCCTTACTGCAGTTGCAGAGAGAGAAAAAAAAGGTTCTTTTCTTCAATCCATTAAATGCATAAATAAAAGTAATCTGCTGTTTCACTGGCACAAGTTCAAGGTCAAACCACTGACAGTCTAAGAAACCACCACTTTATACTCACACACTGACATATTGATAAACATATCTATGTATCTCTATAGATAGATCCCCAGCTCTTAACAGGCAGGAAGGTCTTCATCCCATCCGACCGTAATAAGGAAAAAAAATCCGTAGTTCCTCCATTTGGTTTGCGATCAGAATGACCATAGCAACTTAAATGCCTAGGCGTTATTATAGGGATTTTTAAGATGCACGGGCTACGTCAGAATTTACGGATTCTGACTCCAGGAAGGCATGCGCTGTTTTTACTCTAAGCGACTCTGCAGACATCAGCATGAATCCTTCAAGGGGAAAAAAAATCTCACGTTGGTGGCGGCGACAAATCTCCCCTCCCGGTCCCCCCTCCAGAAATAATAATAATAATAATAAAACAAAAAGAAGAAAAAAACTTTAGGCGTCCAAAGCTAGTATCCAGAATTCTCCAGAGGCTCGGCAGATGTCCATTGGCTTAGACAGGGTGGCGAGCGGCGAGCGAGGAGACCGCGTCCGGGAGCCCGCGTGCCGCCCTGGCCGCCGCGAACAGGTGTCGCCGCGCCGCCCGCGGAGCGTTGTAGCCGGCGGAGCGCTCCTCCTGCGCAGCCCCCGCCGGCGCGCAGAGTGGCGCAGGCAGCGGCATTGGGCTGGGTTTAAGGTAGCGCCGCGGCCGCCCGCGCTCCCCGCGGTCCTAGCGCCCGGCCGGCCGGCCGCGCCGCGCTGCGGCAGGCCCCGCGCGGCGTGCCAGAGCGCGGGACCACCTGGAGGCCAGCCGACCAACAGTGCTGTACACGGAAAGATGTAGCGGAAGACGCGAGAGGGAGAAACCCTGAGTCTCCTGACACTCCAGGTTCTCCTGAGGAATTGAAGCTGGTAACCTAAAATCTTGCTCGGTACATTGATGGGGGTTCAGACTGAAATTGGGAAACTAGTTTTCACATGGACTCTGTAACGTTGCATTGCACTGTAAAATAAAACAGTGGAGAGAGCTGAGGGAAGGGGTTTGATTTAATGAGCTTGAACGGGCATGGCAGTTTCTCGTTCATTCTTCTACCAAACACAAACGCAAACCGTATTGCAGGTAGGACGGGTGGACGTGAACCCAGCCTCTCTCTGTCTCTCTCTCTCTCTGTCTCTCTCTCTCTCTCTCTCTCTCTCTCTCTCTCTCTCTCTCTGTCTCTCTCTCTCACACTCACACACACGCAAACACAGGCAGATGTGGCCACCGTTTCGGTTTTGTCCGGGGCTTTCTGCTGGGCATCTTTGGGTCGCCGCTGTGTGAGGGCCCGCCCCACGCCGGGGTTGGGGTGGCCGCGGGGCCGTCGGCAGCGGGGGCGCCAGAGAAGCGCCTCTGTCTCCGAGTTGGACTCGCGCGCGCGTCTCCGGAGAGTCAGGGCGGAGGAGAGCGCTCCAGTGGGCTCCCCCTTTCCCCCAAACTACCCTATTTAGGGCGAGCTGTGCCAATCCCCGCCCAGTTTCGGCTCGGGGAAGCGAAAGGCGAGTTGCGGTGTCTCCGTCCACGGCCAAAGCCCGCCCCGAGCCGGGAGAGCCGGGCGCGAGGCGCGTGGGGGTGGCGCGGGGACCGCGGCCGCTACTTCCCGCTCTGCCCCGCCGGGCCGCACGTGGAAGCCTGGGCTCCAGAGCCTGGGCCCGGGTTTCTGCTCGCGGACGGCGGCCTTCGCGCCCAGCCGGAGGCCGGGACAAAGAAATCCGCCGCGAGGGGCCCTGCCGGACCAGGCCCGCCCGAGAGCTCGGCGGCGGCGCTCTCTGCGCGGGGGACAGCCGGCGTGCGCCCCGCTCCCCCGCAGTGGCGGGCGTTGAGCTCAGCGTCCCACACACACACACACACTCGCCTCGCAGCCCGCCCGAGGGCCCCTCACCCCTCCGCTCCTCTTTGTTCACATTGTCTTAGAAATGGCCCGACTCTCGGGTCAAGATGGTGCAAGTTGCCGAGACTTGAGCACAGCTCCAGCTTGCGGGACGCGAGTGAGAAGCCAAGTCGGAAGCAAAGACTGGACCCCTACAGTGGGAGAAGGAATCAGAGCCTTTTTATGGGGGAGAAGTCCGATCCGCCTTAGTAGTCAGCTAAAGACTGGAGGTGAAGAACTGGGCTGGCCCTACGCGGGAAGGAAGGGTTTCGCCGGAAGATGAAAGGGAGCAATGAATTTGCAGATTTCTCGGGCGCCGGAGCTGCCGGCGACCTGGAGCGACCTTACCCTGCCCCCCGGGGTGGAAGGCGAGCTCCGGCCCCGGCAAGGAGGAAAGAAAGGGGCGAGGTGGTCCTCCCTTCTTTCCATTCCCACACCCATTTGCCGCAGTCCCAGGTCATTGGGTGTCCGGGGGCGTAATCCGTGCGTCTTGCTTACGTGTTTATGAAGCCCCAGAGCCCTGCCCCGTGGTATTTACGGCGGTCACATCGACGGTGGGCTTGAACGATGACTGCTCAGTGGCAGATACATGAAGCTGGGGAGGAAGGGTCACTTCTCGTAAACCTTCCGAGAAGCGCGCATGAATCGCGAAGGTAGTCAGCAGCGCTGGGTTAAGCAGGGGCGTTCCTGAACCGCTGGGGTACAATACGCCGGGTGGGCTACTTTTTTTTATAAAACCTGACGGAGAGAGAGAAACGGGAAGACGGAAGGAGAAAGAGAGAGATGGAGAGAGGGAGACGATAAAGAGAGAGACGAGCAGCACGAGGACATTTCCAGTGAAGACAGGACTGGGACAATTTCCACCAGCTGTCTCCAACCACATTCTTTCGGTCTGAATTTAGACTGTCAGGCAGTGAGCAAAGACCATTTCCGCTTTTGAATCCTTCAGCCTCACGATTGTCACTTTGAAAAGCGATGCAGCAATCCGAGAGAGGGCTAAGTAGCTGATGGAGCACTTTCCCAGTTAGAAGCAGCCTCCTGTGGGCATCTCTTTTCCACTGCAGTTGGCTTAGTTCACATTTCATCTGCATCCCTAACTCTAGCCTCTGGAAGCTTTTGCTGCTTCCTTGCCCCTTTACCTTGCCCATCAGGTTTCTCCCCCTGCTTCAGTTTGGTCGTGTTTTCCCATCACAGTAATAAAAACAATGTCCTTCCCTCCGCTGATCACATTACATTTCTTCGGAACCCACCCTACTGGCTGTGGCTGACGTCCTCAGGATTCCCTCTCAGCTCTACCATGATCATGAGCTCTATGTCCAGGCCTGTACTTATGTTTTACAAGTATTCTTCAATTAGTATCTAGATGGTAGGCTCCAAGAGGACTGAGACCTTGCTTTCTAGAGACGAATGGTGTAATTGGCATAATAACAGCTGCCTTGGAAGATCGTTGTTGGGAATAAAGAGAAAAATGCACATAAAGCAGCCAGCATACAACAGACACTTAAGACGCAGTAGCTGTTATTATACTCTTCCTCATGATTCCCTGTAGATTTCTGCCCATGGGGTATTCAGCAAATATTATTATTGATCTCAACCCCAATGCTTTCTTAGGATATCTCTTCTAAAAATGTTTTAATCCCTCTTGTTTTCCCTTCTTCCAGTTTATCATCTCTCTTTACTGCTGACAATTTAGTACTTAGACCCAGAGAGGAATAAATGACGAGGGTAGTAAAGAGAGAGATGAGGAGGAATGAGCACTAGAAGAGGAGTCAGCAGATCTGGACCTGGTTCCCCCAAACTCCCACCTACTCCCTGTGATTTTGGTCCCTCCCTCATGGACCCCAGCGAGCTGTGGTGAAGATGGATTTATGATACACGCATGTAAAAATGGCCTGTAAGCTATCAAGTCCCAACAAATTTAAGGTGACCATTTGAGAAAAGTGCTCTGTTCATCTCCACTACCTTGTTCATTAGCGTGTGTCTTCTCCTTCGATGTCCTTGGACCCTCCAAAGGAAAATCAACACAGAATTTTTTCATTCCTTTCCTACAACAATAACGTATAACTGGGCTTCTATCCTTCTATCTCCATTTCTCCCATTCCCCTCACCCCACTCTACAACCCTTCAGTCCAAGGCTTTTGTTTGGGAACTGTGAGGGGTGTGGGGTGGAGGGGAGTGGTTGGGAAGGCTGAAGTCTGTTCCCAGTCTGACCTCCATGGACTAGATTTAAGCTTCGATGGTAGGAGGACAGAACTGTAGTAGCCATTTATTAACTGCTTACTGTGTTGTGTTCAAGACACTCTACTAAGTGCTTTTGTGCTTTATCTTTTTAATCCTCAAAACTACTCTATAAGATAGATACTATTATTATTCCCTTTTATAAATGAGGTAACTGTAATATAAAGATTGTTACATGCCTCTTGCCACAGTGTTAATAAATGGTGGAGCCAAGTTCATAGACCTCAGACCCCCATTGTGCAACACTGCCCTCTCTTATAATAGGCATATACTTTTACATTTTTATAAATAACATGTTTTCATAAAATAAATATATAGAAATAAATAGCTTACATACATATATAAACAACCAGTTAAAAGACATAATGAAGGAATAAAGACCCCAGTTACAATATGGAAGAAAAGAAAAGAAAGATAAGATTCCTAGGAATAAAATTAACAAAAATTTTTGTGCAAAATCTATATGAAGAAATATGTTTAAAGCTCTCTAGAGACACAAAAGAATACTTGAACAAATGGAAAGGCATACAATGTTCCTAGAAAAACTCAATTTCATAAATATGCAATCATTCCTAAATTAATCTAAAAACGTAACGTGATCACAATAAAAATACCAACATTTTTTTTACTAGAAACACTGATGCTAAAGTTAAATATAGAAAATTAAACTTAAATTGACAAAAAAAGTTTGAAATATACAAGAAAAATAAGGGAGTAACTAGCCATACAATATTTTAAACTATTTTAAAACTATACTAATTAAAACAGAGTATTATTAGCATATGAATTATTCATATTAGCAAATGAATAAAGAGATAAAGCAATAACACAGAACAGAAATTACAGAAATAGACTCAAATACATACTGGAATTTAATACATGATAATCAATCAATGAAAAAAATGACCTATTGAGTAAATGATTTTGAAACAACTGAATAGACAACTGGAAAAAAATAAGTAGTATCTTCTTCACATTTTATGTAAGGATAAAACCTAAATGGAGCAAATATTTAAATATAAAAAATAAAATCATAACAAGTACTAAAAGAAACAATGGAAGAATTCCTTTATAATCTGAGTTGTGAAGGCCTTACTAATTGTATCATGGAAACCAAACATCCAAAAGAAAATAATGATAAATTCAGCCACACACAAAACATTTGTTTAACTGCATAGTGGGGGGTGGGAGGGAGGAATTCAAGAGACAGATGACAAAATAGAAAAAAATGTGTATCTCATATCAAGATAAAGGACTAATTTCCCTAATATATAAAGAGCTACTACAAATCAATAAGAAAACTACAACTTCTGGTTTCCAGTTTGACATGTAAAGAGCTTGGAAGTCATCATTCCTGTCCATCCAACAAGAAAAAAGTATAACAAACTGAAAGTCAACAACTCTTCTTAGATTCATCAAGGAATTGAAGTCATAGGACAAACTGCCGCCCTGAAAACTAGAGAGAAAGACAGATAGATACAGAGAATCACAGCTTACCGGAGCTGGAACCAGTATCAATA